ACCAAAGCTTACGGAAGAAGTAATACATACCACATTCTAGCAAACAACTGCCATATGTTTGTTAATCGACTGGCAAAGTACCTGAACACTAACTGCGGACGTTGATAATTGATTAATCAAAATCTCTGAAGTGGCTTAAAGGACATTAATTTTTGGAACCGACAGTTTTAATTTGATTAATAGTTTTTGATTTTTAGATAAACATACCTTGAGAAAGTTTTGATTTTACGGTGTCAAGTTTTTCTTGATAATGTACGGAATTAATGCAAATGTTACATGTAGTATGAAAAATATATAATCTCAGCAAATTGTGATTTTGAATAATGTATATCAAGTTGGTGTCCTTAGGCTGGAATTAGTAGATTACGGCAGAGTTTTAATATTTTACAGAAAATAAGTTTTATTTTTCAAGTTGTTCGAGTTGTGCGGTATTTCGGAACTAAGTCTAGTACCTTTGATACAAACAGGCGGTGTGCGACACGAGCGCGCAGAGCATGCTGGTTGAAAATTAAATTTCGCTCATATTACACTCGACTTTCGAGGTGTGTCTTTTAATACTGTATTAACTAAAGCGATGGGAATCATTTTCTGGACATACCAAAATTTTTCGGAACCTAACAAAAATTTTCGAAACATCACAAAATTGACCACAAAATTGACAGAATTTGTCCCATTTATTTTTATAATAAACCAAAATTGCCCGACTATTCAGCGAATATTGCCCGACTACATGAGAATAACGTCACTTCAGTTGTTGTTATGGTTGGTAGAATGTTAGAAGAGAAAGTAGTAAACGAAAATCGGGCAAGGTACGACCTCCAAGCGTTTGAGAGTTGTTCGTCTAGCTTGTTATAGAAATTTTCAATTTGAAATCTGTTCCCTTGAAATATATAGGGCACGAGACGAAAACCTTCGCACTGGTTTACAATTATGGAATGAAAATCGACGGGACGAAGCTGCACGTTTTCTCAAGCAGGGGGCAAATGTATCGACCAAAATGGCTCTTGAATTGATCAAGGTAAACTGGGAATATAAAAAGTTTATGAAGATTTCTAGTAGGTCTTTAACTCCAAATCGTTTAAATTATTGGAACACGTCATTTTAAATAGCTTTTTTTTCCAAGAAGGGACAATATAAATAACCTTTCTGGTATAGGAGGCCTACCTCGGGTCCAAAAGTTACCTTAAGTCGCCTTAAACCGCCCAAAGTCGCATTAAGTTGCACTACATCGCCTTGTACTCTTTGTGTTCTCGATAAATCGCATCCGTCAAAATGTGTGTATTTATTTTAATATTAAATGGTGTTTCGTTTAGTACGAAAGTAGCGAACGACTTTTGAGCGATGAGAAACGAGATCACGAAGTTCACGTAAGCGACTTTTGGTTGATGAAAAATATAAGGATATTTTTGGACGCCATGTTTGATCGAGTGTTTATATAACTTTTAGAAAGTGATTTAAGAGGCGATATTCAAGAATTTGTAGCCGTTAAATTGCGAGGAGACCACCGGGTAATTTATTGCATGTGAATTTACGTTTATCTGCATTATTTTTGTATTTTACATGTCTTTTTTATTGTAAAAGTATGTGTAATTTTGTATTGTTTAGATTTCGAAACTATTAAATGTACGTTGACATTCGTCGTTGTTTGTTTCTGAAATGGCGGTTGAAAACGAAGAAAGCGGCTAACAAAACAAATAATGTTTTAATAAACTGTTCTCGGAAAAACAATATTACTCTATTTTGTTATTATATGAAACAAATAATGAATGTTTATTTGTGCAATGGTAAGAATATTTTCATTCGGTGAAAGATGGAATGTTCCATTCAACTCGGCTGTCACCTTGTTGAATGGAACGTTCCATCTTTCACCTCATGAAAATATTCTTACCATATGCATTACACGAATAAACATTCACTATTTGTATAATATTGGACCATAGAAGCTAGTTCTGACTCTGATCATGGCAATCTATTTGACATATTTGTCTGCAGCTGAACATAAAAAATTAATTATGAATATAAAAACAAAAATGAGAGCGCACTCACTGCAGATTGAAATTATCTAATTTTCTAATATTTAACAAATATAAAACATTTTCCGTGTTGATATACAGTTATATCAACACGAGTGGAATTGGGAAAACGAGAAATTGTATGGAAACACGACGCCCGAAGGGCGGAGTGTTTTCATACAATTCCGAGTTTTCCCAACTTCCACGAGTGTTGATATAACTTATACTATATATCAATACGGAAAAAATGTTTAATATTTTTTTTATAATATAGCAATGTCAAAAGCCCGAAGGATAAGAAAAATTTCCGTGTTTACAAGCGGCGGAAAATTTCCCGTGTTGACATTGAGTTATATCAACACGGCTCTTAGCCAATCAGCGTTCAGAATTTACAAATGCTATATTATAAATTTCAATATACACACTCACCGACACATCATCTGATTCATTTTGAGCAGATGGCTCTAAGAACAAAACTTTCCTTGACTTAGCCTCTTTCTGACCTCCAACAACTCTTTTTACCTTTTGGGGTGGTCTTTCTGGTGTTGAACGTGTTTATTTTGTATACTGCCTCTTAGGAGGCATCATACACGCTGTAAAATCGGTAAAAATAAAATAAAGCATGTGACCTACATTTGACAACACACAGTGCAAAATTCCTTTGCTTCAAATTAATAAAGCTGCTAAACAAGAAGAGGTTGACTGGGGTCGATCGATATCTGATGAATATTCATTATGCAATTGAGTGTTTGCTAGAAATAAATCACCTACCTGCAATACAAACCTAGCGGAATTTGAGAGCGGCAGCACTCTCCCCTTGACAAGCAAAACGACTGGTATGAGACATTAAAATAACTAGAAAATACATGCATGCAGAAACCCTCGCCTTGCTGACAAAACGATTGTATTTTCCGAACATGAAGTATCTAAAGTAGTTGTCATGGTAACACGATAACTTTTTAAGAATATTTTTGCAAATGAAAATCGCTTAAAAATATCGCTTTTAATTACAAATTTATGTATTTCCCAAACATACATATGTTAGGTATATGTGATTATACGTATTAAATAATAGCTTATTGAATTCTGATCGTTTAATTGGCTGTTTATTGTCACGTGATATTGAATAGAAAATTCCATTTCCAAAGAGTGCAATGCAATACGTTCTATTGCACTCTTTGCGAGTGCAATTGTACTATATACGTTTTATTCCATTGCACTCTTTGTGTTTTCGATAAATCGCATCCGTCAAAATGCTTCTCGTACGGTGATCGCAATTTATTTTAACCCGATTCGAAACTCAGTAAATGGGATTTAATGCAAATACGACTCGTCAAAATGGCAGGAGCTTACAGTAAACCTTTTAATATTAGTCTATTCTGGCATTATATAAAACAAATAATGAATGTTTTTATTCGTGCAATGGTAAGAATATTTTCATTCGGTGAAAGATGGAATGTTCCATTCAACTCGGCTGTCGCCTCATTGGAATGGAACATTCCATCTTTCACCTCATGAAAATATATTCTTACCATTGCACTCATAAACATTCATTATTTGTATAATATAACCTTCAGTTTAAGGTAGAATTCAACCACAAACGCTTTGCAAAACATTTTAAGGTTTTCTTTATAAAACTAAACTGACTTTAATTCTTTAAATGGCTTTATCAATAAACTTGGCGTACGCATTCTGTGATTATACTCCGGTACGGTAAAGTGTGAAATTTCCTTTACTTTACACTTTGTAATTTACAGTTTACCGTGCCGCAAGTACTTGAAGGCCTGTGTTCTGACGGTTTTTCCGTTCTTTTATCGGCGTGTTTTGATGGCGTACGTATTCTGTGATCACTCCGGTACGATAAAGTGTAAAATTTCCATGATTTCAAATTCTCGCATGCAAATAACCTTCCTTTCTTTTTTATTTAAAAATTCAATATAATAAAAAAGGGAATCAGTAAAGATACACTGAAATTATATGCTGTCTTGTTTAGTTGTTTCATATACGCAAAGCCAAAGGCCGTCGGGTTTTAAAGCAATTATGAAATCAATATGATTTAAAACAAACAAACATACCTTCGTCTTTGCACCTTTCTTTTAGCCGATTCTTTCACTCTTTCTTTCTCAGAAAGCTTTTGAAATTTACAAAATCTTGCAAAAACGTGACCAGAAATGAACTATATTTGCAAGAGATTTAGAAATCATCAAATCAAGAAATATTTGCTATTTCGCTGTCGTCATGCAGTCGTTATAATGCAAATTTTAAATTGGACCAATCAGTGTTCGCTATTCACGACAGTCCGCTATATTTTGAGATCAGTGAGGATGACCACCCATGAACGGTGACCCACGCCGGCGATCATTGATAAACCTTAGACTTCGCTAGGCATATAGCCGCGCGGAATTATATATAGTGCCCTCGTCGTCCGCTCGGGGATAAAGTCGGGTGCATTGCTATTGGGGCACAATGCGAATATGGTGACAAAATTTAGCTTTCATCCCCAGCGAGCGCGCTCTATAGAGCGTCTTGTTATGCTGAAATTTACATACAAGCGCGCTCCTGCCGAAACCACAACTAACTTGCGTGACGTCACAAATAATGCTCGTTCCCGACTTCAAGCAGCTAAATATTCCGTCGGCCATGTGCCAAGTAAAATCGCAATATAAGCAGGTTCAAGTGGCTCTACATTTTAAGTTTTTTCGCGAGACTGCTACACTCATAGTAAACTTTTAATATGCCGAAAATCAATTTTGGGGTTATACGGGCACTTTAAACGATATAGATATACAATAAATTTCTGACATTGTTCAATTATACAAATACATGCATTAAAGTCATTACATGCTAACCGATAAACAAATTTCAATTGGTGAACGTTGCTTACATGTTTGTTACTTTAGAGTTAAAAATTTTAGTATTCGCACATTCTTAGCTCTTTTTGGTCTAGTTTACAGAAACATAGCTACAGTGATTAATATAGAATAAAGGCAAACTGAGATTGAGTCAATACAAATTTGCCAAAAGTTAGGTGATAAACGTGTTTTATAGTCCACGTCAATTTGTCAAAAGTTTAAAAGGATGCCGCTTAAGTTTTAAAAATGTCAAATTACTTAATTAACTCAAACGGATCATCATCCAATGTTGCCAACCGCATGGTTTGTCCCTTCTTTTTGTTAATCTCGGCATTTGCTTCGTTTATTCTACCCGGATAATTCATAATAAGACCATCCAAACCCATTTCAAGATAAGTCTTCGCTGTTGATTTTTTGTCAACTGACCATGCATACACTTTGCTGAAATAGTTTCCGCTATCTCGATATTTCACTTGACTTGACAGTTCGTCCAAGTACTTTTTCGGACTCCAGTTTGTTATTCCACTGCTAAGCCAAGCGTGATATGGAGAAACGCCAAGATCCCTCAATGCTTTCTCTTTCTCACCTGATTCAGTTAACTTCGATTCCCAGCTGATGTCGAAGCCAATCTTTTGAATGATGGCTGGATTCCCAGTTGCTTTCAGTCGACTCAAAACCGCAAGAATGAAATCTTTCAAAGTGAAATCTGGAACGCCTATTATTACCTTCATTTTGGTAGGGTTATCTTTATACAACGGAATTAAGATTTTGTTAGCAAATTTCTCACCGGCAGTGCTTAAACTATTTTTCTTTACATTTTTCAGCTTAACATCAAACATAACCAAAACCAATCGTCTGTTAAGCTTCCGGCTGTGAGGAAGTGTTCTTTCTCGAAGAGCTTTGATGTAGTTTCCAATGTAAGCCCAACGTATGCAATCGCGACCAGCATCACAGGGTATCCCGTGCTAGAAGTAGTTAGGTGTGCCATATTTTGAAAATGAAACATCTATCTCAAGCGCGTTTGCTCCGTACCCCAACCAGGTATCAATCTGCCTGACAGAGTTAACCATATGAGCTATATTGTATATATAGGTCGAACTAAAACGAAAGAAAAAACTGACTTTAAATGAAATATGCAAGGTAAAAAATCCGATTTAAAAGTCTTGGGAGAACTTATTTTGATCACGGATGCCGCTATCCCTTGCGCACCATGCATTCAACGGCCAGAAATGTCCTAAAGATGCATAAATGCGGGAATCTCTCGCGGTGTATAATAAACTTATTACCTTGGTAAGAACTCCTGTGCGGAGTAAGAACTTCTGTGTAACAGTTGCAAATCTCGTAGTATGGATTTCACATTTGTTTTCCCCAGTGATCGGTTAGGGCTAGGAACGAGCAATCTACTCCGAACCAACATTCCTTAATAGTCCCAATCAGTTCAATCACGTTGCCAAGACATGTTAGAATAGAACTTACAGATATACTGTATGTACAGAACCAATTTAATTACGGTTTGAATACTTTAGGCTTGGAAAGGTGATATAACGTACCAGCAAAAAGTACTCAGATAGCGAGAATATCGTTAGTCTATTGAAGCACAGTTACAGTAAATATCTGCAGGACTGTGCAGGTATTGAATGAAATAATCAGTTTACTCTCTGTTAAACAGTATTCATGTATTTCAACAGCGGCCTGAACAGAACAGCATAGTGATAAAAAACAGGTAGAGTAGCTATAATTATTCCAGCACTATTTTCTTTTAACAGAACACATGCACACGGGAAACTTGCGACTAAGAAAAACAATTAATTGCTAGAGGATACAGTATTTGACAAAACTGAAGTGATCAACTAAACTGTGTTATGATGCACAGTATACTACTGCAGTAGTAAATTTATTAGCAAAATGAGCAAGGAACTAAATGAATTGGTCATTGAAATAAATCATAAATTACTCAATTATTCCAGCTACTGTAAACAAGAAATGCATGATTGTGTAACTTACTGCAGCCTTTTAGTATATTCAAAAACGCGATAAAAATTCTTGGTATATTTTCCTGCAAGAGAAATAAACGTGAAAAATTGCAACAATTATCACATCACCCTGGAAGGGTGAATGGGTCCCCACAACTACAAGGGGAAGGATCGAAACTAATCTGACAGAGAAGGAGCAGGGTAGGAGTGCATCATTTCGCACAAGCAAAAAGTTTTTGTTTAGAATTCGCAGTGGCATTAGACAGTGAAACTTTTATGGTCAAACTGAGGAAACGCATGAGTTCATCCATAAAACATAGACGTATGCATGTACAAGAGTAAAACAAACAAAATTGATGGCGCAATTCATTCGCATTTTGGGGAAAGATATACGAAGCTTCGTCTAGTGTCCGTTACTGGATGCACAATTGTACCTCATTCTCCTCATGTAAACATATGTTGACATCACTAGTCTTTAAACCAAGGGCACTTTTCGACGAGCCATACAGCCTCAGAGAACAACCTATTAAATAAAATGAAATACAATTTTTTTCGAAACATCGAAGTTCTCCCTGTATTTTCCAAGTAGTTGTACAGTATCCCCACCAATCCACAGCTATCCAACCACTGGCACTACCTACACTGGCACAGACCGTTCACTCTCTCCAGAATCGGTCTATATACCAAATAACGAACTATCTGTACACTATCCAACGTCATACCTTTAATTTCCTGTTCAAAAAGACTCTTGACACCATTAAAGACTTGCCATCTTAAATGTAAATCTTCTTTCGACATGCCATAGTCAGTAGATATGTTGTGTAAGAGCTTGCTCAGTGCAGCTAGGTGAAGTGGACCAGGTACGGGCAAATTTTTCAGCACATTTTCCTAAAATGTTTTAAATTATATCGTTTGAAGGGCAATAGCAATAAAAATTAAGTTTGTATCGTTTGATAGAACTTTAAAAATTAAACAACATATAAAACTCCTTCGCCGATCATGTCTATAAACTTGTTTAATTTTTGATTACATATGATTTAGCTCGATTTCGTTCCTGCACATGCACTTTTGAAGGCACTTTTTTGAAGTTACAGCTTTTAACCAGGTAACCAAATGACTAACCTGGTCCCAGATGTGACGCAAAAGAAACTCCAAGATGGAAGCGCCTCTGGTCAAATCAATTGTGAATCTCATTTCCATACTTGCATCATGATCAGTTTGGGAAACAAACGTGCATATACAATTATTATTTATAGCTAATTATCATAGCTAATAATAGCCTGCAGATGTACATTTTTAACAGACTGTGCCAGTGAAGGGAGTGCCAATGAGAAAGGGATACAACTACCTGAAAAATATAAGGAGAACTTAGACGTTTCGAGCTAAGGCACTTTGTTTCAACAACTAACTTACCCATGCTGGGCCTTCGCTCTAAACGTCGATGTCCTCCTTGTGTTTTTCAAACAGTTCTATCCATATCCATCTGCAGCTTTTTTACATGCAAACTACATTACTGCATTTGGCATGCTATAATTAGCGATTGTACTGCGTATGTTAATTATGTTCCAAACCGGTTTAACATATTTCTACTAATATGGTAACCAATCACATGCAAGGTCCAGATTCAAATATTGAAGTGACATTCACAATCAATTTGAGGCTCGGTTTCTTTTTGTTGTACCCATGTATATTTTTTTTTTAATTTTTTGCCCTGCACGTATCAAATGTAAAGAGCCAAAGCCCAACAACTGTGTCATATTGTATATTATAGTATTATGACATTGGACCATGCTGACAAAGCTTAACAACACAACTGCTTTAACCCATTAAGCACAATGCAGCGTTCTCCCCTTAACGAGTAAAATCGTCTGGTGTTATAGAAGTAGTAAAATAACGAAGTTGTGCATTAGGGTACAATACAGGCCTCGGATTTCCCTGAAATCAATCGACGGCAATGGCGTTAAAAATTGCCGTAGAACGTAACAGCTGCCCACGGCAATTTTGGCAGTCTCCACGGCACTTTTCAAATTACTGTAATAAAACTTTTAATTTTATTGTTACTTTGGATTTTTGACAAGCTAGAAACATGTCTACGTATTTCTTTAGTGTTTTTCTTTCGAATAAAACTGAGACTAAAATAGTGATTTACGCATTATTTGATCAACATCTGAATTCAAGTTCAAAGTAGTAATGCACAGTTGCCGTCGTTGCCGCAATGATGGACGGCATTCTGTTCTCCCTCCACGGAAATTGCCGCGATAAACTTCGAGCCCTGGTACATTCTCGTACCCAGAGCCCTCCTTACGCGCGATGCGACGAGGGGCTCTGGCCAAATCCATAACCGGATACCATAAAAACATGGTAAGAAAACAATGTCCAGTGTTAGAACTAGCCAATCACATGCCAGTTCGGAATATGGATTTGGCCAGAGCCCCTCGTCGCACCGCGCGTAAGAAGGGCTCTGGGTACGAGAATGGCCCTGGTACAATAATGTGGCTTTAATGAGTAAGTAATTAGGATCCAAAAATGCACAAGACAGTCCCATTCACAAATTGTCTAATGTTGATAGAGTAAAATAATAAAGTCGGGTGCATTTAGGTGCATTCCAACTTAATGGGTTAACTACCAACATTTCAATCAGCTTTAAAATGGTCATTGAGAAAAGATACACCAGTCGACACTGTACGACTCTGGCATATTCCATAAGCTTTATGCTAATTTCTATCAAGGTTGGCCATTTCTTTTAATAACTATGTATCCAAATAGTTTCCACTAAGACTTGTTTTAATTCTTCAAGGGTTTTCTGTTGTAGATGGAAATATCGAGCGCAAATTTTATACATTTATTAGATCTGACCAGGACCAGTAATTGTGAAAAATGCAACTATTGGTCCTCTGACAGAAATGGAACCAGTGGCCCTGCAATTCCGCTGCACTCAACTCAGCAATCCTAATCAACTGAGCTACAGAGAGACAGTTGTCGAGCTCTAACCATAGACAATCCAGAAGACATGTCTTCTGGGTTGTCTATGCTCTAACCACAAGTTCATGTATAAATACTAAGGTGATGCCAATGCACGGTTTATAAATACATATCGGGTTAAAATAAACTGCGATCACCGTACGAGAAGCATTTTGACGGATGCGATTTATCGAAAACACAAAGAGTGCAATGGAATAAAACGTATAGTCTGTACAATTGCACTCGCAAGAGTGCAATGGAACGTATTCCACTGCACTCTTGGGAAATGGAATTTTCTATTCAATATCACGTGACCATAAACAGCCAATTAAACGATCAGAATTCAATAAGGTATTATATAAAACTAACTGTTAAAGGGTTTTTTAGTAGATAGAAATTTTGAGTGCATATTTTATACATTTACTAGATCTCATCTATCCGGGAACAATTGCGAAAAATGCCACCAAAAGGCCTCTGACAGGAAACTGCAGTTCTGTAAATTTTTAATTCAATGACTTAATCCAGATAAACTAATCAGTTAATATGTAGCCTATACATATAAGTTGGGCCCAAAATTCAGAGTTAGGTGGCTGTGGGGAGTGGTCAGGGCACAGGGGGCCCAGGCTCGATTTTCCCGCGCCCGCCTGTGCCTTCCTTATGACGAGGGAAGGAAGGAAACATTGAGACCAAAATAGCCCAGACTTGGCATATGTCACACGAAACTATCCTCGATTTTTCGCTTTTAATGCATTTCTTTCACGATTAATCGATATCTCCTGCAAGAATGATACCATGTAACTCTCAAAACAACGATGCTTTAATCAAAGAGCTTAAATTCGCTCTGAAATCCGTGAGGGAATAACAAAATTCGGCCAAAATATATCCGCGTGCCGGGTTTGCTGTGCAAAAGTGGAAGTCGTTGAACAACTCAAAATACACTCAACCCTGATTGGACAACGAATATCAACAAACATTTCATATTTTTTTAACAAACACAATGTGAAACACAATTTATTATACATATTAACCGACTACAGTTATATTTACATGCAGTAATATTTACACTTTATAACGTTTGTCAATAGTTTTGATTGTATGATTGAAATTATTACAGTACTGTAAAAAAATATTGAAATGTTTGTTGATATTCGTTGTCCAATCAGGGTTGAGTGTATTTTGAGTTGTTCAACGACTTCCGCTTTTTGCACAGCAAACCCGGCACGCGGATATATTTTGGCCGAATTTTGTTATCCCCTCACGCATTTCAGAGAGAATTTAAGCTCTTTGATTAAAGCATCGTTGTTTTGAGAGTTATACGGTATCATTCTTGTAGTGGATATCGATTAATCGTGAAAGAAATGCTTTAAAAGCGAAAAATCGAGGATAGTTTCGTGTGACATATGCCAAGTCTGGGCTATTTTGGTCTCAATGTTTCCTTCCTTCCCTCGTTATAAGGAAGGCATGTATGTGCAGGCGGGCGCGGGCAAATCGAGCCTGGGCCTGCTGTAGTCAGGGTTATCTTAAAGTCATCCAAATTAGTAGTAACACAATAAGTAGGAACGCAAATTATAAAGATTTAAGATTAAATCAGTTTAATACAAAATAACCAGGCTATAGAGTAGACCATGGACAATGAGAAAAATAATATAACTTTGCTTGCAAGCTAATTAGAATGCATTGATTTCCATGTAAACTAAATACTGGAGATACGCCAACATTTGCCCTTGATCATAGGCTGGGGCGGTTCTTGAAAAAAACCGAAACCGAAAACCGTCAGCAAAAACCCGGGAAAAACCGGTTTTTAATCTATAAATAACACACAGACATAAGACCGTGTAGCACATGTTTTTATTATGTGAAGAATTTTGGTTTTAGATGCTTAATATCAACCAGTTCTTGTCTTTTCCAGTTTTTTCGGTTTTTCGGTACTTGGACTTTGGCAAAACCGAAAAAAACGGTCTTTCAAAAAAACGGTATTTTCTGGTACAGTATACAGTAGCCTATATACTGAAAAACCGCCTCAACCTACTTGAACATGCCAATATTTTTTAAAATTTACTTTTACTTTTGGAGACTAAAACCCAGGTCAAAATACACAATCCTGTGTGCTTTGACCTTGTGAACTGTAAATCAATCTCACCGAAATGTCAACACGGGTTAGTAATCTGACCTCACTCCAATACACCAACAAATTTGAAACCTCAACTAGAACGGTGTGGAGTACATGGAATGCACCCTGGTACCTCCCAGGGCTCCAACAGCTAGCGCCTTATTTTAAAAGGCCGGAATTACAAATAGGGGAGGGCATAGATCTTTAGTCAGAAATTAGCCACCTCCACCAACGGGCCAGATTTGCTACGAATTTTGGCCTCAAGCCTGAAAATAAGCGGCCGGTCACAGACATCGTCCAGTACGAAAAGGTACAGTAATTGTCAGGTACAACTGTTTTTTGCCGTACACTTTGTATAGCAGGATATTAGTATAACTATTGGTGAAACTGTCTACAACTGGCATTAAAAACTTCATTATAATATTTCAAAATACTTGCATTCCGCATTTAAAAATTATGTGTATGACTCGAGATCCAAATTTCATTGTGTATGAATGAATGCTCTGCAATTTATGATTGTTCGATTCCGTATGATATAAGTGGCTTAATTGTTGTTACTAAGCTTTTCATTGGCTTCTTTTATTTCAACGACCACGAAAAACTATATATCTGTATCTAACTATATCTATAAATAACACACAGACATAAAACCATGTACAGTAGCACATGTTTTTATTATGTGAAGAATTTTAGTTTTAGATGCTTAATATCAAAAGCTTAGAGACGTACAGTATAAAAATACAAGACAGTAAGAAGACAATGTTAAAAGAACGTATTTACAAGTTTTCAGCTAAGTCAAGATTAGCTGAAATGTTAGCAATCAGGGATATTTTCAATCAGGGATATTTTCAAGCACTTTAGACTATACTACCGTTTTTTTCTGAAGAAGATTGGGTTTCTTTGGGGGGGGGGGAGAATGTTAAAATATTTCGTGGTCAGGGGCACACATTCCAAAATAGTTTTGGAGGGGTGTAAAATACGTCGGGACCGACTTTTACGTGTTTACATTTTGGAAGGCGCAACCAAAAGAGAATTTTTTTTGAAACTTTGAAGTCTCTAGATCGTCGGAAATGGCATTTTCAGACTTTAGTTTGGCCATCAGCTGGCTGTAGAGCACAGAAAGAAAGTTAATTCAGGCAGCGTATAATGTCAATTCTGTAACCTTACTTATTGTTTTTGGACACTGTCCAAAAAATAAATCTAACAGAAACAATAATTTTGCTTACTACAGGATGATCGGGACAGACAAATGGTTCATTTGGGACAGACTTTTTTTACTATTTCTCAAAATTGTGAGGGTATCACACCCCTGCACACCTCCCGTAATGTGCGGCCCCGTTTGGGGTACACATTTCTAGTGTGCATGGGTACGGATGGTTAATTTTGCAGGTTGCAGGTTTGCAATTCCCTACCGATCCAGACGATGAATGAGATCAAATACCAATGTACTGGTATATATAGAATACAGCAAATGTCTATTATAAGCTATACTAGAAAATACATGCATGCAGAAACCCTTGCCTTGCTGACAAAACTACTGTATTATGTTTTCCAAACATGAAGTATTGTCATGGTAACACAATAATTTTGAGAATAGTTTTAAAATTGAAAAATTCCCCCAAAATGATCAATTAAATTCCCAAACATGTATATGCTAGGTATGTTATTATACGTAATATAAGCTTCAATTTTATGTAAAAATCAACAACAAACGCTTTGCAAAACATTTCAAAATGTTCTTAAAACTAGACTGCCTTTTACTAGTAAACATTGAGTTTCAAAATCGAAATAAATTGATTTCAAATTCTTGCATGAAAATAACTCGCCGTCATGCCACAGAGATCATGCTGAAAACCGGAAGTGGAGATCAGTTACTGATCTCATTTATCATCTGGATGTAGGGAATTGAAAACCTGCAACCTGCAAAATTAACCAGCCGGCATCGGCACGAGTATTCCTCTATGAGATTTTGTGCCTCAGAAGTACAACTACAGTTTTCAACAGCTTTTTGAACAAAACTGTATAGAAAAACAGGTTTTTAATGAAACATTTACCTTAAAAAAATCAAATTGTGAAAAAAAATCATTGTGGAGGAAGATTGAGTTTCAAAACCCAATTGAAGATTGAGTATTTACTACTAACCGTATACCGGTAGTACGAAAAGAATATCCCTGGCATTTTTATGTTGTTTTTTTTTTCCAGGTTTTTTTATTTTTCATTGCTTGGACTTTGATATTTGGTAATTTTGTTGTCAAATTCCCCACCCAAGGGCACAATTTCTGAGTCAGAATACCTGTGGGAAGGGTATGAGTTGTTAACAATTTCAGGATATTTATGGCCGAGATAACATTGCTCGCCCCAAGTCTCCAGCCGAGATGTCCAGTACATGCAGGGTTTTCATTAATAGGCGGTTACCGGCGGTTTACCGCCGCCTGTTTGGCCTAAGACCGCCGGCTATTTTTTTGTGTCTGGTAAATTTTTCTGAGCCACGTATAAAACTTTTAATAAAAAATAATTTAAGTATTGTCAGTCTATCAAGCATATGTACAATTATTTAAAATGACAAGTTAGGTATTAGTGTTTTCGTTTTCCATAGTAAACTTATAAAATAGGTTCATAACTCACGAGTTTATGTCGTATAATATTTCACATTGTTTTGAAATTTCTCTTGCCATTTTCTCGCAACTCGAATTTGAACGATCAGCGGTCGCCGATCTATCTTATGCAATACTTCGTAAAATATTTGCATTAAGGCCCAACAAACATGGCGGGTGAAAATTGAAAACATGGCGAGTAAAAAGCGTGGCAGAGGAAATTCAACAGGCTTTCAGACATCAGCTTTTGATGCATTTTTCACTCACAAGCAGAGAAGAATGGACAACACAGGTAGTGTACATTATTACCTATTGTTTTTAATATTAAATAATCGTCACGGGTCAATGTTTTCTTGTCATGGGTCAGTGATAAAATGCATATAATTATAAATTCTGTTTCAACACAGTGTCAGTCTGGCTGTCATGACAAAATAATTTAAAACTATTTTATAATAGTACCATATACCAGTTCACAGTGACACTACAATGTTGTTAAATGAATAAAGATATAATAAAATCTATTTCATATTGTCAAAATTTCTGAAGCAAAATTTCTGAAGCAGTATTTGAGTGTATTTCTGAAGCAAAATTTCTGTACGTTTGTTTCCTTTGACATAGTTTACCAATGACCATGCCTGACCTTGTTAATATATACAGTAAGACTTTACGTACTAGGCATCAGACTCCCCAATGAAAACATGGGGGTCATTAGCTTGTCTCTCCTTACAGGAACTAAATATAAATAATAAATTTATACAGAGAAACAATGCATATTCATTTGATATATTAGCCTCTGCTCCTTACTAAACTCTACTAATGGGCCCTCCCATGGGGTGAAGTATGACAAGCTCACACCATCCACCCCTCACATATGCCCTTGTTCCCAGAGGGAGGAGGTACCAAAATAATCAAGAGAATATGCTTAAAATTCCAAAATCTTAATTAAACAAACACCTACAGTATAATCCATATGAATCATGTCAGTGCCACTCTAATATTTTCATTTATTAAAACTGAATTTGTTTTTTTGCCAAAAAATTTGATAGCTGCTAATGTATGGATGTGTTTGTATGTTTCAGAACATAAAAGTTGTGATTATTGTTAAAAATGTTTTTTTTCTTGCAACAAGAAATCTACCCAAGAAAGTAAACCAAAAACCCCAAATGTACTCTACAAAATTTTCATTTGTTATTAGCATTCTGGTGCACCATTCAACTTTTTGTGCATAAATGATCCCCTAGGCGATTGTAAAAACTCCAACTGCAAATTTAGTTTATAGAGTTCAGATTTTACTAGTTCCCCCCGAAAAAAACCACAAAGTTTGTTTAATCATCTTTGTATGTAGTTTTTGGGGTACCATGTATTTATGTACACATTACAAATAATCAAAAATTATTCAAAATGTCCAAAGAGGTTGAGAAGAGTGCACTTGCATTATCACACTTTTGTTCACAAAATATTATTTACGATTTTTTTAGATGGTGATGTTCAAGTGGACAAAGATAAAAATGAAACTCAAACAGAAACAGAAAGTACATATTTTACTGCACCAGCTGATTCAAACTCAAATAAAGACAAAGAAACCAGACGTTTACCAGTAGCTACAATAGATGAGGCTGGTGCCATAAAATATATCAATGAATCATTCAGCCACAATATAAACAAAGTACACAGTTTCTACTCGTGCAAAAACAAGAAATGTACCAACCTGAATCCAGATGAGGTGAAGCGTATCAGTAAAAAAGGAGATCGTTTTCAACATGATTGGATAACAGATAATAAATTAACTTACTGTGAAAAAACGGGATATAATTGGCTTATTTACGAGGAAGGTGAGGGCATGTTCTGTTTCATTTGCCGAAAGCACAATACTGAAAATGAACAAAACAAGTGCAAGAAGTTTAATCTTCAGGCTGGAATCCGCTTTAAACGTAAAGCAGTAGAGGAACATGCCAATTGTCAACAGCATAAAGCTGCAATAATGTGTGAACTGATTAACAGAACCTCTCCATTCCAGGCAGAACTTGACAGGAAAGAACAGAAAAACGACGCTGTGTATTACAATGCTTTTCTGACAATATATTGGCTAGCAAAAGAAGAGTTACCAAACTTCAAAATTTCCAGCTTTTTGGATGTGCTTGAACAATTAGGATTGACAGATATGAAATATTTTCAGCATCGCTCAGCTGGATCATTCAGAGAAATGTTCTTAGCGCTGGGGTATCAAATTAAATCACAAGTGGCAGAGAAGTGCAGAAAAGCAAATTGGTTTGGATTACTGTGTGATGAAGTTTGCGACATTTCTAATCAAGAACAGTTGCTAACTTTCATTAAGTATGCTGACCAACAAACCAATAAAGCTACAACAGATTTTCTGTCTGCAAATGACCTGTTTCAGAATTCACAGTCAGCAGATGCCAATACCATTTGGACTGTTCTCAATAAACAACTTGAAGATAGCAAATTGGAAAAATCTAAGCTTGCAAGCTTTGCAAGTGATGGAGCATCTGTGATGACAGGAAAGAAGAATGGCGTGGCAGCTAAACTTCGCTCAGATAACAAGCCTCTTATAAATGTTCACTGCATTGCCCATCGATTAGCTTTGGCTTGTGGCGATGCAAACAATTCTGTTTCATACATACTAACAATGGAGAAAATTCTCAACAACTTTGGTCCCTTTTCAAAAACTCGCCGAAAAAAGCTGCAAAATATGCAAAGGCTGTAATGAATGCAAGTGAACTTGGAGTCACTAATGCTATGACCAGACGTGGAAAGAAGAAACTAAGTAAGCGTTTTCACAAAGCCTGCAGGACCCGTTGGATGTCCACCGAAAGAGCTATAGAGGGGGTCTATAACGATTTCGCAGCATTGACACAAACTCTTCGACAGTTAAAGGAGGAGAATGACTCGGCAGCAATTGGTCTTCTGAAACAAGTAGGAAAAGTCAAATTCCTAGGTGCTGTATATTTGCTCAACGAAGCAATCCCAATTCTTGCCCATCTCAGCAGAGCCTTTCAAAAAGGAGCTGTTTCGTTTGCAGCCATTGATCCTGCCATTAAGTTTACTTTGGATGAACTTGATCTTTCAGAGGGTGGCAGACTTTCCCAATGTGATATGCGACCACTTGTAGCTTCGGATGAGAAGCAGCTCACAACTTTGGCGAAGGCTTATGTTGCAGCTTTAAGGGATAACATTAACAATAGATTTGATGGAAGCATCCCAGTCTTAACAGCCTTCAGAATCTTCAATCCTTTAGCTGTCCCAAACAGGTCGGAGCCAGTATTTAAAGAGTATGGTATGAAGGATATTGTTATTTTGGCAGATCATTTCTACCAAGAAATGGAGGTCAAAGTCGAAGATGAAAAAAAAGAAGAGCTAATATGCGAGTGGAGAAAGTTCAAATATAATCTTCTGTCCATCAAGGATGATATCCCAGCCGAGATACTGACGCCACCAGTGAAGAGGAATCTGATTGCCCAAACACCGACAGAATGGGTGCTTGAATACCTTATGAAAATACGAGCAACTTTCCAGTATCTTTTCCCTCTCCTGTTGGAAATGGCGGAGTTGTGCTTGTCCATTCCTGTGAGTAGTGCTTGGCCAGAACGAGGAGCTTCTTGTGTCAAGAGAGTGAAGACGCGAGTAAGGTCGCGCTTAAAGAATGACATGCTGGAATCGCTACTCCATATTTCCATCAACGGTCCAGAAGTAAAAGATTCAACAGCATTAATCGATTCTACTCTGAAGCAGTGGCTCGCAAAACCAAGGCGAAAGATGTCCATTGCAAATAAACGACCATCTAACGCAGAAGGGAGGGCACATTGTGTAGATGTGTCCATACAGGATGGTTCTTCTGACACTGTCAATGTTCATGATCAGGAAATGGAAGATGAATCGTTATGTGAACAAGAAGAGTTTGAAGACAACGCTGGAATGATGGGGACTGAGGAAGAGGTGGATGCTGCTGCCAACTTATTTAAATTACCAGCAGTAGATCTGGAAGAATACGACACCGACAGTGACGTCGAGGACAGTACTGATAGTGATTACGATAGTTCAGATTCAGATTAACTTGTTATTCAGATCAAATTTTAGTTCAGAAAAGAATTATAAACATTGTCAAAAGTTAAATTTACATTAAACACTTTTCATAAAATTGGTTTTTTTTCTATCATAAGATGAAATCTACAATGTTGCATCTTTATCCATTGTATTTGCAAGCAGCGTTTCTACCGAAAATAGCCTTTCGCACCCTCAGAAAATCTCTACTTTTGTTCTTCATGTAGAAACCTGCTAATTTCTAAACAAGAAACTGTAACTTTTTAGACAAAAAAGTTTGTTTTCTGACCATTGCAATTCTACGAGAATTTTCGCCAGAACGCAGGAAATGGCATTTCAGAGACTTTAGATTTCAAAATTTTCCGGGGGCATGCCCCCGGACCTCCCTAGAAATCTCGCACCTTCGGTGCTCGGACGCCTATCATTTACAATTAGCCGGTTGTAAAGAAAATTAATGAAAACCCTGGATATAAACAAGAATTTAAACATTTGGCTCAAACTTGCCTTTATTTTAGCATTTGATTTTTGGATAAATGCTTAGTGGCCATATGTAATGGTCAATATACTACAAAGCATTTATCCAAAAATCAAATGCTAAAATAAAGGCAAGATTGAGCCAAGATGTTTAAATTCTTGTTTATATCAGGTAAGAAGTCACGGGATGAAAAGACAGATTTACTGGGGGGGGGGGGGCAGCTGCCCCTCTTGCCTTTTGCTAGGAGGGGCAAGGGGGGGGGGACAGAAGTGCCCTTTGAGTTATAAAATACTACCTGATAAATCACATTTCCAGTGATGCTTTTTGGGCAAAATCATGAGGTGTGATCTTGAATGTGCGTATGCTGTCATTGGCAAGTCAACACATAATTGTATTGTAGGTTTATACTCTTCACCGGGGTCTATAGAGGTGCCCTTTGGTGTAACGTTTGCCCCTCTTGCCTTTTTATCGTTCCGGCGTCCCTGGTCTTAACCTTAACCAAGAATTTTTAACTAAATTTTGTGTATAACACAGTTCTGATTTTTGATCGAAGGCGTTCGAAAATAGTGCTGACGTCAGCACTTTAATTTTTCAAGATGCTGTAACTCAGGAAAATTTTTAAAATCATTGATTCAAAATTTTTGGTGAACACTAGTAATAATAATAAACAGCATATAAAACTTCCAGTATAGAGTTATTGTTTGTTACTTACCGTCAAAATGGGAAAGATCCATCACTTTTGTAATCAAAATATGTTGTCAGACATCTATGTTTATAAACAGTCGCATGGCTACCATCGAAAAATAGCGTGATGTCCAGGTGTATTCCGGGAAAATGTCGTGATATTCCGTGATATTCCGCCATACTCCGTGATATTCCGGCATATTCCGTGATATTCCGGCATATTCCGCCATATTCCGTGATATTCCGGTATTCCGGGTTTTCACAACGCCCCCAGACTCGTCCCCAGTCGTTATTTGAAGTTCAATTTCATAAGGACGAATAGGTATATATCCATAAATATATATATAGATCAGTACCAAATGTGGACGCGCGCAAGGGGAAAAGGGAAGGCGAGGGAAAAAATAAATTTCATCTTTCGCCCTTCCCGTGAGCCTCTACGCGCCCACTTCTGGCCGCGCGCCCGCTCTTAAAGCGACTGGGGACGAGTCTGCAACGCCCCCTTGCGAGGTGCGTGTCTAGAAAATAGAAATGGCTTTCATATTAAGGGCGAGGTTAAGGAATGCAGTAATACTAAAAAATGCATTAACATATAAGTAAACATAACAACGCTTGTCAATCAGTCGCAAGTTACATCGAATTTCAGTCAGAATTTTACTTGAACGAATTTCGAAGTGAATTTCTGAAAATTATCCGACAAAACCTGCCACGTGTTTGTGTTCGCAAGTCACAAGAAGCCGCCAAGTGTTCCACCACGCCGGAGCTATTTGAAAACGGCGTAGAAAAGTCACAATAAGCCATCGCTAATTCCATAGGCGTACGGGAAGGAATGTGCCCGACCAGTGCCCGACCTCCCCCCCGTCGCCAAAAAATTTCGGTCAGTGTACCATTTTAGGGGTCCAAAAATTTTTCGGACATACAAAAATTTTTCGTAACATCAACCAAATTTTCCCAAACATCACAAAATTTACATAATTTCCCGCAAAATTGGCAGAATTTGTCCCATTTATTTTTATAATAACCCAATACGGCCCGACTGTGAAGCGAATATTGCTCAACTGGCTTGGTTTGCCCAACAAACTGGGGTTATTATTACGAGAGATTTTATTGCCTTGACTACTTTTTCCCCGACTTTTGCCCGACTTTAGTTGAACTTTTGCCCGACTTTTGTTGAACATTTGCCCGACTTTTCGACTTTGTAACCCTGCCCCCCCCCGTCCCGTACGCCTATGGCTAATTCACTCTACGCTGGAGCGAAATCGTTTGAAAACTTTCACGTCACTTTTGCCGTAACAATTTGAGCACGGTTTCTAAACGGAGCGAAGTGAAAACGGCGGAGCGCTTGATAGCTTCGTGTGAACACAAACGTGTAAACTCAAATGCTTTTCAGTTAAATTTCTTGGGTCTATTTGAAATATTTTGGGTTTACACGAGTGCTAATTCAATTTGTAAACAAACTGTAATGGCGGTTGTGTGAACACATGTAAATTCTGCCCTCATTAGTTCGCTCGCGCGTAGTGTGAAAGTAGTCTAATTTTCGGTGACGTTTTCAAACGGCGAGGTAGCCTTTAGAAAAATTTAGAAATAGTGGATGTCCGAAGGGGAGGGGGGTAATTTTGGGCTTTGATGTCCGGAAAGGGGGGAAGATGAACCATTCAAGGATGTCCGAAGGGGGGAGGGGATTATTTTCGATTTCCTCCGTAGGGGGTATGGATCTTTTCTGGAATGACCCATTGTAATGAACAGGGGCGGGGGAAAAAAGGGCGAGCACGTGAGCAATGCTCGCAGTAAATGTTAAACATCATTTGAAATCAATGAAGATGTGCTTTTGAAAATTTGAAGAAATCATTAACACAACAACATATGGTTGACATGCAGACAGGATTTTACTACATCCCGGGCGTTCTTTGTCAGCTAGTGCCCGCAATCACAATTAGTATTTATTATCATGCACCTTACTTTATTATTTTACTAATTGTCTAACACCAGACAATTTTACTCGTCAGGGGGAGAGTGCTGCCAAAAATTCTATATTTATTGGATTTTCAAGATACTTTTGCTTCTACTCAGTAGTTATAATTATTTGATCCAGATATTGTATATTGTCTTTTATTTTGTCAAAACCTACATACTGTTTATGTTTTTACGTACTAATTTCAGATTTTACATGAGCTACTTTGAACTACTGTATAGTAACATTTATAGTTAATATATTCATTTCAATGTTTATAGCAGCCCAAATAAAAAATGACCGAGTGACTATACAGCCGAGAGTCACTTCCATTTGTATATTGTACGTAGTAGTATAAATTATAAAACTTTTGTTTGCAGTAGATTTCAGCAAGATTGCCATTAGTGCATACAGTAAAGGTGCTGCATGTGATAAGTGAAGCAGGTTGGGGTAGGGACCGACCGTGAGTGTTTATTGTCTGACTTAAGTCAGTAAAGCATTTTTTTCTTAAATTTTTTTTCCTGCCTTCTTTAACTCTCAAAAGTTAAGCTGGTTAGGATTAGTTTAATAGGGTTTGGGATCAGTTTATAAAAATTAAAGTGATTTTAAAAAGTTTTAATTATCTGTTTGAATATTGAGTTGCCAACTCAACCGATGATAATCCTATAATTGTGATCACGGGCACTGACAAAGAATGCCCGGGATGTACTCTTAGTAAAATCCTGACAGACATTTGCGCTCCCAGGAAGATCGAAAAATACAGAAAATTATTTTTTCCTACCCTGGTAATGAAACAGCTGAATTTAACATATTTCTGATATATCTGCCCAAATGTTCTTGATTTTTCCACTATTTCCATGGTTTTCTAAAGTCCCAGTTGCCCCCCCCCCTTTGCCCCCTGTCCTGTACATCGATCTGTCTACAGTATATATACTAAGATCTATGCAATACTCACATTGAAATGTTTTTAGAACTATCCTTGAATTTAAAGGTTTCACCGGTCTGATATTGGATGCTAGAACTTGACGTCCACCACTCGCATTGGCAGTTCTCAAAGCCCAAAATCGTTGCAGGTATTCCTCCGGGATCAGGAGTCTCTCTTTATACACAACCCATGTGACTGTCTCAAAACAAGGTGGGCTGGTAAATGAACCTTTGTACAAGTAAAAATCATCTCTATTCCTTGGCAAAAAGTTACTGAATTTGATTGCAAGTTTCGTCTTTGATCCAGGAGATCGAATACTTGCAAGCTTATCTGAAAATGGACTCCAAAATGAGTTTTGCGAAACATTGGTGGAAACATCAACTAGTACCGATAGCACTAATACTCCATCATACTTTTCTTTAGCAATTTCAAATCTTGTATATTTCAAGTTATAATGAACAAGGTGTACTTCCATAGATGCACTTTTACCATTTATTTGGTGCTCCGAGCCCGAGACTGCATCGCCGTTGCGCCAGTGAAAATGCACTTCTTCTAGTTTATAGTGATTATTTATAAACAACCGGTTCCCGATCACTGAAACATTGACGCTAGAAGGCAGTTCAAGTTTTGCAGTCTTGCCATTATTGGTGAGATCAGCTTCTATTGGTGTCTCAAAATTCTCAAAACAGAGTGTGACTTGTTTTGTAAAAGTTGCTGCCTGAGAATCAATAATATTGAGCGGGCTTTGATACAATCCGGCACAATGTTTCCATGTTTCATCCCACTTCGTTGTATTCCCGTATGACCAGTCGCAAAATACACTGTTCATAACCAAACATTTAATATATACAATACATAATACATAAAACTTTAGCCAATTTCCCATGTTGACTATTATACTCCGACTCGAGTGCTATTAAAAGGTCCACAAATATATTAAACGACACAGAGTAACCTGTAATACTTCCCAATGGTAATAAAAATTTTTTTTAAAACCACAGAAAATCCTTTGGATAAATATAATAAATAAAATTGATAAATAATACGTATATAATCACCACTACTCATTGCAACATATAACCTCTGATAAAAACCATATTCACTACAGTGCTTCCATTTTCAAAATCAAAATTTCTCATTTTTGTCATCAAAATTTCTCTAAATTCTTAAATTCCTTAGATTGTAAAAGATTGTATATATTTATTTCCTTGAAAATTCCTTGAAATTTCATTACGCAGTTTGCAGTGACTTTGTAGGATTTAATACAACATATTTCTTTCCATTGATATAATTAATTAATTATTCACAGCGCTTGGCGCCAAAAGTAATAAATCCCATCGCTCAAGAATTTTCAGAAGTTTTCGGAAACATGAGGAAAAAGTTAAAAACAGATTTTTAATTAAAGATAATTGATAATTCACTCAAAAATTCAAAAAATAGTGAAACGTTCCTTTGCACTAATGCACTTGGATGAATATTTAAGTTTTTTTTGAAAAAATCCTTAGATTTCCTTAGATTTTTTCTCTTCCTTAGATTTTCCTTTTCGACACTAGAATTTCCTTAGAAAAGGAAATATCCTTGAAAATGGAAGCATTGTCACTATCATTCTCTGCATTCTAGGTAACCAGGCCTTACAAAAATTACCAAATAGTAGTACCATAGTTTACTAAATCAACCAAACATTCACATTGTAGTTAAGGAAAGTAAATTTATCATGCCAAGGGGTGGGGGGGATGAAGATGTTAAGGGGGGCACCGAAATATTTTCTGGCATTAAAGGGGGGCTCTGAAATTTCTTGATATACTGAAGGGCCTCCAAACTTTTCAAAGTTTTGGTCCAGCAGAGGGGCCTGGAGTGTTCACTCCCACCATAGTTAATTTAGAACAGATGGTTTGGAAACTCATTAGAATAACAATATAACTCATTACCTATGTTAGTGAACAATAACATTTATAAATCTGGTCTTTTACCGTCAACCAATAGCAATGTTTTAAGAAAGTTACCTATCCATGACTCAAAGTCTCAAACAATAGGGTAAATTGAAAATTGCTATTGGTGGACATGGCAAAAATATAATACACACGTGACGGTGAAGGGATATATTTGTGAATAAACGTTGACTAACATAGATAATGAGTTATATTGCTATTCTAATGATTTCCAAACTATCTATTCTATATTAACTGACATGGGGCAGCTCCACATGGAATACGTAAAAGAAGGCTGCAACACGTCTGTCAGGAATGCATGCAAAAGCACCAATATGCTTCAATTTCTGCAATTTTCATTCTGTTTCTACCAAATTTCCATGAATATGGAACATATCGTTATTACAAATCGTATGTTTTTTGTTTTTGGAATTGCTACTTTTTGGCGGGTAAATTACGTCACAAACTTGGCGCCAAGGTGAGCTATTGGTGAGTTTTAGTGTTTTACTGAATCCATTTAGTAGAGCAGAATTAGCCTTAAGGGTACTTTAATTAATTACAACTGAAATCTGTTTCTAAATACAACCATTATGATGGGAAGATATAGCGATACAAATGTCGAAAAATCCGCGATTTTTAGAAATTTAAGTCATTATATCTTCGCAAGGAATGGTTGTCAGGGACGTAGCGATCGGGGTGTGTGTGTGTTGGGGTAAAACTCCCCCTATACTGAATTCAAGTTAAAATTTTGACATTTTCACTGTAAAATTTGCGTAATAAAGTAATTATTTTTGTGAAATATAATGATAACCATTTTTGTAAAATACAGACAATTTACATGCAATTTGTTTGCGAATTTGCTTTAGAAAACGCCAGAAATTCAGTCCTATACCTGTAGCTTCAAAAATGTAAAAGTTTTCTGGGGGAGGACCCCCAGACCCCCTCCTCCCCCGAAACCTAGTATGAGAGTGCCAATCAATCTCAAAAAGCTTTATTATAGTTATCACACTGCAGGTAAATTTTTAACATTGAAATTCACTTAATTTCACGTAAAATCCTCCGACATCCCCCCCCCCCGCTCAAACGTCAGATGCTTTGGCTACGTCCCTGGTGGTTGTACTGATTTCGAAACCGATTTCAGTTTTAAGATATCCTTAGTCTGCTCTTCTAAATGGATACATGAAATCACCTATAGCTTATTTTTACTTTTTTGTCGCCAGGTTTGTGAAGTAATTTACCCGCCACTGAAAAGTAGCAGTTCCAAAAACAAAAAAGCATACGATTTGTGATGATATGTTCTATGTTCATGGGATATTTAGTACAAACGGGATGAAAATTAAAGAAATTGAGGCATATTGGCGCTTTTGCATGCATTTTTGACAGGCATGCAAAGAAATTTGCAACAGATATGCCAGGAGATTAGGTTCCAGAACATTACCCTGATCCAGGAAATCCTGGCCACTACATGAACGTGTTCAAAACTCCGCGGACTACGCTGAATGACGGACAATAACAACCTGTCGATAATTTCGCCCCTAGAGCCAATCTAAAATGTTTTTTTTAAAGACGGTGCCATTTCATCTCGCGATAGTGAGGTGAAAGAAGCAGCAAGTCGGTATAATTCAGTTTGTTGAGGAGAAACATGTGCTTGAGTATATCAGACATCTTGAGGAACTGAAAATTGTATCTATGATAAGAGAGAATTCCAGATTGTACTCCTTCGATTCAGATTTTTTTGGGGGGCATTGAAAATTTTAAAAACTTGGAGGGGGGAATCGAAAATTTACCAATAACCTCAACAGGGGCCCTGTAAAAATATGAGCTTTTTTCAAGACATCTTCATCCCCCCCCCCCCCACCCTCGGTGTAATAAATGTACTTTCCCTTAAATTGAAGTCCGACTGAGATTTTCGCCAGGGACGGCAACACCTCGGACTTACCAGGCGCCAAACGAATGTTCTACAAATGTTTATTTATATATATTAAATCGCTATACTAAGCCGAAGCTAATGAGCTACATATGCTTTCCCTACACGTGTAAAAACGCTGAGCATGCTGTTTAGGGGGCGGTCATTATTTATGGCGGGTGACACCGAAGAGAAAAGGGTTGGATAAACAAATTTTGAGTGAGTAAAAAGTTGTGTAAATGAAAAACAAAACATCCCAAAGATTGGGTAATAAAAAATTATTGTCCGGCATTTCCATTTCATGACTCACTGAAATATTGGAGACTGAAAAGCGATGTCAACAGACATATGATGCATGCATGCAGATAATATGAAACTTTAGACTGCAGAAACTTTCACAAACCGTTATCTTCGTTCTCTTCGGGATTGAACAATGTTTTGCTGCCCACGTTGTTCACACTTGTCACTATAACAACATTGAACAATATTGTTGAGCCTGAATTGGGTGTAACAATATTGTTCAATATTCAGATAACTGTGAACAATGTGGGCAGCAAAACATTCTTCAATCCTGTTTTCATCAACTTTTGCAACAACCTGATCGTTTTCAGCCGTGTAATCTGGCCAGCCGTCAGACAACAGAAGGTCTGAAAACTCATTTCCAACGATCTGACGACAAAATACGCTATCAGGCAGACAGTTTACATGGTGTTCATAAAGACTGGGCGTGTATTTCACTTTAATAGACAGATTTAGATCGAGGACGCGCGCGGACGTCAAAAACGACGTGAAAATAGCGTCAAAATGGCATGGCATATCCATACATTGGCAC